CTATCTATATATATATATATATATATATATATATATATATATATATATATATATATATATATATATATATATATATATATATATATATATATATACTGTATATAACACTGGGCTGCATTTGAAAAAAATCATGAGGTGCAGGGTTTCTTAGCTGATTCTTTATGTATTTTGCGTGCTGATTCCAAAAATGCCATTCATTTTGCCCAATCAGGTCAGATTTTTATGCTATGGGAATTAGGAAAATCGAAATTTTAAATATGATGTCAAAATTTTTATGCAAAATATATCTAAGAAATGTAACCACAACACATAGGACCAAAATATGTCAACTACATAGATGCCTTTACAGTTAGACATGCATAATGGCTGTCGTAGAGAATTTTGGTGGTTGGTGTCTGGGGGTCCTGCTTCAGACACCAACAGTAGTCGGCGAGCATGTTGATATCCCAGCGACCCTGGTACCGCTCCTCCATTACACGGATATCTTGATGGAAGTTCTCCTTGTTCCTCACTCACATCACCACAGTTCTCTGAAAGTAGTCCAAGTGGGAGCTGAGGAAGTGCATCTTGATGGACATGCACCAAGAACTTTGTAGCTCAGAAGTAGGTCCTCAACAACTCGTTCATACTCTGGACTTCTGTAGTTGCCAAGAAAATTGGAGACAATAGACTTAAAGGCATGCCAGGCTTCTTCTCATTTACATCCATGCTGCAATCAAACTTGGGATCTTTGAAAAGCCTTCGATCTGAGGGCCATCAAAATTCCTGCATTCAGCTTTGCCTCACTGACTTTGGAAATTTTTCTTCAGAAAATTGAAAGCCTGGCTTTTTTGTCCAGTGCCTTTACAAAGTTTTTGAACAGACCGAGCTTGATGTGCAGTGGCGGAAGAAGAATGTTCTCTGGATTCACCAGAGCATGGGCAACAACATTGTGAGAACCTGGAGTAAGTCCACTTTTGCAGGCCAGTCACATTGCATGTAGTGCTGCTTGTCTGCTCGACTATCCCACAGACAGAGGAAAAATGCCATGTACCACCAGATGAAAAAGAAATTTAATTGTGAAAAATATATGTAAAACACGATTTTTCCTTTACGTCACGGCGGACATTTAAATGGCCGGCGAGCACGTGGGTGTATTTAAATGCATCGTAAGGGCATTAAAACTGACCGAAATCTTTTCTGTGAGGCTTGCCAATGATTTTTAATGAACGAATATGAGGACCCCATTTTGAGCGAAAAATGCCAATATTTTACCTGAATCTCCGCTTAAAATGCTTTAGCACAAAATTTGACCTGATTGAGCAAAATGGATAACATTTTTGAGATCAGCATGCAAAATACACCCAGAAAAGCTTAATAATACACAAACCTCAAAACTATGCAGGCAGTGTATAATCAACACCTCAACCCGCCAGGATTCGAACCCACGATCTTATAATTGTGACCGGGGAACATTACCTCTGGGCCACCAGGCCACTAAAAGCAGTCCTAGACTCTGGTATGTTTCACAAAGCCTGTTCAACGAGCTTATGGAGCCGTGAACCTCAAATGGGGACCACCTGCTCTTTGGTGATCAGAGCAACGTTTTACCAAATCCGGCGTCGAAACACGAGGATCCATATATATTTCATTAGCCCAATAATGAAATGGGCTAATGGCTAATGAAATATATAAATATATATATATATATATATATATATATATATATATATATATATATATATATATATATATATTAATATATATATATATATATATATATATATATATATATATATATATATATATATATATATATATATATATATATATATATATATACTGTATATATATATACTGTTAATGAATATGATGTATTTCTTTGTGTATGAACCTCTGTCCTGCATGGTAGTGAGAAGTGATACCACCCTCAGTGTCAAAGACCTAAATGAATTATTCAGAATAAGCAAACTGTACTCCAAGCTTTGGCAATAAATTTGTTAAACTAACTAAAGACACACGCATTAGGATTAGTGACTCCAGAATGGGCAGAGTAAGACAACCTGTCCGAATGATTAATAAGATGATTAGTGGTAAAATATCAATATTAAAAATAAGTAATGAAATGATTACCGATGGTAAAGTTAAATCACCGTGAATATTAGAGTTGCCTTTAAAAATATATAACCATTTTCTCATACAAAAGACCATTCTCTATTAGTTTTGGCTTGTTCAATAGATGGCGCTTGTGTCGGATCTAAAGAAAACATCAGGAAGTGGAGCTTCTTTATATATTCCTTGGCATCATTATCCTCTGCCTCAGACGCTGTGGAGTTAACAACAACAACTGAGGAGACGTGAAGCCGCTGCCGTAATAACATGTTATGAGATCAAGACATCACGGACACATAACTGGTATGATATGGGGGAAGTCTAATGATTATTATAAGTCTTGTAGAAGTAGTGAGTGATTATTACAAGTGTTGTAGAATTAGTAGTGGGCGATTATTACAAATTGTTGGAATCCTGTCCCAGGACACACATGATAATATTTATTCAGTAAAGTTGTCATACAGGTTTAAAATTGGACAAACATGTTTATAAGGTACTGTACACAGTAGGTGTGCAGTGCTTCTAGGTTGTGGGAATACAGTTCAGTATTGAAACAGATATTGAAACAGTATATTTAGCCAGAAAAACAGATCCAGAGGATATTCCCGAAGACATTCTGCCCCCCCCCCCTCCCGGCACACACTTTGGCGCTATGTATTTGCATAACACACATATATATATATATATATGAAATATAAGAAAATGATCTTTGAAAAAATATTTTTATTGAGTGTAGTGAATTTCCAGAATTCTGTGGTTGCTGTTTACTGCAATACAGTACAAGTACTTGTATTACTGAACATATTGGAATGTTTCCACGGTTATCACTTAGTTAATTATTTTATTTATTTTTTTACATTTATATCATAAGTATATACATAAATATTTTACAGTGGTATTGATATACATACTGCAAATATGATAAAGGAGGGAAGCAGTACAAAATGGGTTATACAGTATTAAGGCGGGACAAGATGGCAGAGCTATTAGTATCATGTTGAGTTGGCAAATATGATTATTGCAATGGACTGCATACAGTTTCCTGTGCGCCAAGGACAGTGCAGGTAAACCACAATGTTAAACAGTAAGGCAGCTTGACCAAGGATAGCTGACAAAGCTGCCAGGTGCTTAGGTAAAGATTCGTTGGTAAATATGCATTTTCGGTGGTAAAATTTCACTTGTTGCCACTATACGAAATCGAAGTTAAAATTAAGTTTTTCCGATGGTTAGGTTAGGTTGGTTGCTTCGATATGAGCTCTGTTGGGGGTTCTGAGGGCAGAACCCCCATCAGCCAGGGGGTTACGTACTGTAATATACATATCCTGAACAAGGGCAGTTAGGTCAGGTTAGGTTAGCACAGAAACTGATTTTGAGATGAAACCAAAGTTTATCCAATGGGTGTTTGGTTTTGGTGCAATTTTTTTACAAGTTGCCTATAATGTCCTACAATATTTTGGGGTCCAGTAGGGTCAGGATATATAGTGACTTTATATAGCGATTTTTTTATATCGCGGCTACCAAAATTATAGACATTTTCCTGTATATAACGATATTTTTTTTTATTTCACAAGGGAATTCGGGCAGGAAATATTTCAAATGTACCGCCATGGCAAACAAATGTGTTATTTGCTCACCAGAGGCGCCACCATGGCTGCTCACTCATGCATTCACGCTCACCCGCTCAGTCTTTCTGAGTGAGTGACAAGTAAGCAGCCGACTCTGCTGCAGATTACCACTTCTAAGGCGAGTGTAAATGGGTCGCTAGTTACGTGAAAAGTGAAGTGAAGAAAATGGAAAGCTTAATGGAAATGATTTAATACTGTAACTAATATTTTTGGTGTTTGTTTTTGTAGGTGTGGGATTGTCAAGTGAGGGTGGCAGTGTGGCGTCTACTGCCGAGTCTGGTGTTACCAGGATGGTGTGTCAGCTGCTTAGTCTGGTGTTCCTTGATATTGATACTGACATTGAAATAGTCTGTTGTTCCCGAGTTTAGTGTTCGTTGGTGCTGTAGTTAGTAAGAAAATGAACTCGTTAAGTCAAGTTTAGTCACTTTTTTGAGCCTCCAAAATCTAGCCCTATTTTTCCCATTGATTACATATAATTATATATCGTGATTTAGTATACAGTATAGCGAACATCATTGGACCATATCTTGCGATATACTGTATCCCGAGCCTACTCTATAGCTCGTCATTTCTAATGAAAATCTTATGAACGTTTCTTTCACAAAGATTTGTTTTCGAGAAAATACCATTAATTTGTTAGATTATGGGCAACTTGTAAAAATTTACCCTATGGTTTCCGATGGTTTTTAATGTGTTATGAACGAATTTGAACTTCATTTCTGGTGCAAATCAATAGTTACTGAGATAAGCTCCCACTTCCATCTGAGAATCTAGAAATTTGCAACTAAAATCAAGGTAAAAAGTGTTCAGAACACATAAGAAACCATTGAAAAAACAAAATCCTAACCAATCTTACCTAGCCTGGTATTACAGTATTATTGTTTCAGTCATCCAGCGATTTTTAGGATTTTAAGTTTTGTAAGCAGTAGTTTAGACAACTCTAAGACACTTTTCTTATATAGCATTTCTTCCACTCATGATTAATTTAAGAGAAAATCGTAGTAAATTGTTGGAAAAGTGTTGTATTATTTCTAAGATCTTGTTTATGTTAACACTGTCCCAGAGAGCTCCTGTGTGTTCGTTTGTTGGTTAGTACCGTATGCTGTATTCCACATGTGCTTGAGTCTGATATGCGCAGTTGTTCTTTGGACGTTGATTGGTGGGTATGATTTTCGTTCAACCAATCACAGCTTGGTATAGGCCCCTGCCACCACCTGCTTGAATTTGAATTCATTTCCAATGGCTGTGATGTTAAATATTTCGAAGCCATCTCCAGATTTCACAAAGAATATTGCGGTAAGGACAGAGAAGCATGGAAATTTCTCCACCAACACAGTGTATTGCCAACTGAGGTTACTTGTGTGTAGTTAGAAAGCTGACAAACACCATCTGTGGAGGGAACTGAAGGAGTGTGTGAAGCGATCTGGCAACAAGTGCACCTACTTCAAGCAGTACTTGGCGCACTACGCAGTGCAGCAAGGACAAGTTTCTACACCAGTTCTTCATCGCTACCAGCAAGGTCTACTCCTGCAGTCGGAGAAACAGTGACCAGTGACCCGAAAAATTCCAGGGATGGGGGAAATTTTTCCGGGTTGAAGAGATTATGTAATGGGCAATTTCTGGAAGTTTTGAGAAAATTTTTTACGTTACCCGGAAATTTTGGGGGATGGGGGAGTCTTTCGGGCTCTGTGAGAGTCGTTTCATTACCCAGAAATCTCTCATTCCCAGAAGTGGTCTGCACCAATTGTTCCAGTTAACGGAGATATCACTATAGTAGTAGCATGTCCTCGCTGAAAACTGGCCTGTGATTCTTTATTAAGATTATTAGTCTCACAGAATTGTGTTATCTGTCATTTAACAAGGATGTAAAAAACTTTCCTACACAAGAGTTAACCTCTATGATTATTTACTTCCCTCACATCACCTTTATTTTTATGTATGGGAACTATGAGACTTATAAGCCACTCCTCTGGTAACTCTCCAGTATCAAACACATAGTTAAATAGCTTTATGTATAGTGGACATAACAGATGTTTAATATTCTTTATATATCCATTAATTATTTTGTCATTACCCGGGGATTTATTGTTTTTATGATTGCCTATGCATTTCATTATTTTATCTTCTGTAATGTTATCATTTAATATATTATCCACACACACATCTGTGACAATATCCAACCTGGATTCATCTGCATAATTTCCTTCCTCAGCCAACCTTTTGAAATGAGTCAAGAATTTGTTTGTCATTACCGGAACACCCTGTAGAGTTTGCCAATACACTTTGGGTCTTTAGTTTTGAGTTCTTTAAACCTATTAATAATATTGCATTTTTCTTTTGCTTTAACTCTTTGAAGTTCACTCTTATGTGTCGTACTTTTTGTGCCAGATCTTTATAATTACAATAGATTAATTTTTATTTAAGTTGTGTCTATGTTTTTCTTTGTGATAGTCCTTCCTTTCTCCTCACCCAACATTGCTTGGCATAGCCTGTTATACTCTCACTGTTACTCTTTTTAACAAATTTCTTATCATTTCTTCTGGGGAACGTCCTCACTGCTCATTCTAAAAGTATTTTCTTTAATTCATCATTTACCTCGTCCACAGACATATAATCAATATTTGATAGAATTCTGTGTATGTACAGTGGGGTATGCTATAACGAACGTAATTGGTTCCAGAACCTCGTTCGTTATAGCATTCGTTCGTTATAGGATTAATCCATTCCAGGCCCCCAAATACAACCACTTAACACTGAAAAAATTCTGTGGAAAATGTAAAAAATACGGTACTTTATCTTCCCTTAGTGTTATTCAGCATGCAGGTACCCCTAAACACTGGCACAGCACTATCACTTCCACTGGGAGTCTTGGCTTTAAGGTCCTCAAACAATTGTTTAGCCTTCTCACAAATTATAGCTTCACTAATGTTACCACCTGCCATTTCTTTCTCCTTTATCCACACTAAGAGTAAATTTTCCATCTCTTCAATCACATTACTCCTTGCTTTGCTAAGTCTGAAGATTCCCTTAGCCACTTGCACAGTTTTTAACTCCTCTTTATTCTTCAAAATCGTACATTTAGTCGATTTAACCATCCCATATTCATCACTAAGTTTTGCAATGCTTCTTCCATTCTCACGTTTCTTTATAATTTCTTTCTTAGTTTCAAGGGTTATTAGCTTTCTCACTCGCTTTGGACGATTCATTGTTACAATTGTATACTTGTATAACAAAATAGTTATACGAATTTTCACATCAAAAGACGAAATTTCAACAATAACAGTGGTGCACTGGCTACACAATGAGACAAAGATGGCGCCTGAAGCTCTTGTTGTGGGTCGCGGTACAACAATATTCATGCGCCAGGAGAAATGGTCCCGTATTCATCCGCGTTCGTTGTAGGAGTTGCGTTCGTTATAGCATTCTCAATTTTATAGGTAAAACCGTTCGTTATAGGAATATTCGTAGTAGGATCTGTTCGTTATAGCCAGGGCTGTGGAGTCGAAGACAAAACCTTCGACTCCGACTCCTCAAATTTTTATGCTTCCGACTCCGACTCCTTGGCCTATTTGTAACAACTATTTCTACCATCCTAATTGTAATTTGTATGTTGTAACCTGCGTAGGTAAAAAGTAAAACACCGTGGCTATACTGCTACAGCTTTATTAATGATCTGGA